AAGTACATGGAGGAAAATGTAGGGGAGAGCCCTTTCCGCCCCAAGGGACCCAGCCCTGGAAGCCCATTTCCACTATCTAACCACTGCCACACTCTAGGCCACTTTACACATGCTCGGGCTAAGCCTCACATATGAGTGAACATATTCCTGGACACATCATAAGATACTCCCTACCCATTTTCCATAAAGTGATGTTCATTGCATCACTGTTCACAATAGCCAGAATCTGGAAACAATTTGAGTGTCCTATAACAGACAACTGGTTAAAGAAACTTTGGTACATCTATACAGTAGAATACTATGCAGTTTTTAGGAAGTCAATAGAATACTATGCACTACAATAGAATACTATGTAATACTTTAGGAAGTACAATAGAATACTATGCAGTTTTTCATGAAGTCATGAAATTTGCTTATAAGTGGATAGACATGGAGAGTATCATGCTAAGTGAAATGAGTCAGAAAGAGAGAGATAGACATAGAAGGACTGCACTCATTTATGGAGTATAAAATAACATAACATGAGGCTGACACCCAAGGACAGTAGACACAAGGGCCAGGAAGACTGCCCCATAGATGAAAGCCTGCCTCATTACTGGGGGAAGAAGGCAGCTGGAATAGAGAAGGGATCACTGAGAAAATAATGGTTGGAGGGATCGGCCAGGAGGGGCGATGTATGCTGAAAGTACATAAAGAACCAATCGTGATGGCCTCTCAGTATCTGTATTGCAAATTCCAATGCCCACAAGTAGAGAGAGAGTATGGGGGAAGTTGTCTGCCATAGAGGCAGGGGGAAGGTGGGAAAGTGGGGGATATACTGGGGAGATTGATGGTGGGAAATGTGCACTGATGGAGGGATGGGTGTTTGAACATTGTATGACTGTAACTCAAACATAAAAACTTGTAACTGTATTTCAGAGTGATTCAATTAAAAATATAAAAAAAATTTTAAAAAAGAAATTTTTTTTGCACAATGATTTCAACTTTTCTGTGGGTTTGAAAATTTTCTAAAATTTCCATCTGTTTTGAGACACTTATACAAGGATACCCTAATTAAAGGCAAAACTTTGTATCATAACTGATAAGAACATATTGAATTTTTAAGATGCCAGATAACAAATACTATTTCATTCAATAAGAGGTGACTTGGTGGGCCCAAAGTTGTGACTTAGTGGTAGAGTATGTCTCAGACAGGCCTAGGCCAAGAGTTCTCTTTCATGCATCACCCTACATGCCAAGTGTTGTGCTGGAAGCACTACTGAGTATGATCATGTCACCACCACAAAGACTATAATGTAATGTCCAATGTACCCCAACTAAGGTGTATGACTACCAATGCATACCACAAATTTGTAAGCACCACAACCAAATGTGTGCACTCTCAGTCATAGCTAGAAAGGTTAAAGAAAAGGATGAGAGGGATTGGGAGAATGAACTAACTGGACACTAGGCACCTCCACATTCAGGGTACCAAAGCGGGATGCCAGTCACCAGATACCAGGAAAGCAAAGGCTCTTACTCAGCCTTCACTGAACTCACTTAACTCCACACCAAGCGTCTGCTCCTGCTCCTGTTTCTCCACCCTTTTCATCTTTTCCTTCTACAAATCTTCTCAAAAACTAGTTAGCAGTCCTGGGTGATCCACCATTCACAGTCCCATATTGTGCCAGCTACATCCTATCTCTATCCAGCAACCCCAGAGTTGATGAGGAAACTCACAAATTAGGCCATTCCTTCCCTGAACTGCTCAGGCCACAGAAGGATTTTCAACTTTCTGAACCAAACTGCAATTTCTGTCATGAGTCCAAGCACCATGCCTTGAGGTTATGCAGACAAAATCTGAGAGTCAAGGAAAATGAAAAAAATATTTGAAATGTGGTGGCTTCAGAGTCTACTTTTATGATTTCATCATAATTCACAAGCCCACTTCTCCTGGAATGCTCTTTTTTCAAATACCTTCTTAAGTAGGAAGGTGCCTATTACTAAAATAGTTATATTGTCCCAGAGGCAGGGAGAAATAAGATAGGGGACATCAAAAGCTGCACTACCTGCTGTACCATCCGAAGCATCCTGCTACAGGCAGCTATTAAAGGACACCCTTCTGACAGCCACAGACTCTCAGAAACAGGACAACGAAAGGTTATCCTTGGTCAAACCAGACTCCAATTTATAGCAGCCCAGGCAGAATCTAATTTTATTTGGGAAACAATAAGAAAAAAGAAAATTTATGAAATGGAAGCCCCGTTTATACCCAAGGAACATGTCTCTTATTTTTTTTTTTTTGTACTTCAAATTTCTTGTTTCTTAGAGCAAAACTTTCTCCCTTCTTCCACTCTTTGTCTGGAGTTCTGATCTTGTATGTCAGACACCAGAACCTAGAAACACTGTAACAGTATGTCAAGTACTAAGTAGTCTCATCATTCAGGTGAAGCAAACACCCTCCCTTCATAAATTATGATGAAGGAGACCCTGCCATTTCTTTTTTTCAAAGAGCAGATCGAGACTTTTGATCTATTGCAGACTTTCACTGAGAATAATGGTCCGTAGTCTCTTCTATCTAATTTGGTTATGAAAAATCTCCCTCCCGTTGATCGTGGATTTGCTCGAGCGGGCCCAGTAACGCCTCCATTGGAGACTTTGTTGTTACTGTGTCTGGCATATCGAATACTCTCGGTAGCTTGCCGGGCTCTCCGAGAGGGGCAGAGGAATCGAACTCGGGTCGGCCATGTTGGCCGCTTGTAAAGCGAACGCCCTACCCGCTGTGCTATCGCTCCAGCCCCAGTTATGAAAAATATTTAATTGTATTCCTAGCTTAATATACTTAGAAATGAAAAGTAAATGAGCACAACTAAAATGTTTGTCTTGGAAGCAGTGAAACTACTTTGTAAGAACAAAATTAAATTAAGAGACTCTCTTCAATGTTAGAAACTGAAATTATTACTCAAACAACTTCTTCTTTGACTCTTTTTTCCTTCTCATTTTTACTGAGGTAACTGGATTTACAAATGGTAGTTTTGTAGCAGGCAAGGACGGATCCTTGTAATGTGTATTGCAAAAATATTGTCTGGACAATAAAGTAGCCCAAAGGCCAACAAAAGCTCCAAGCTTTCCCCTTGGCCACCACCTCAGCTATAGACTGGGTGAGCTATAGACTCAGCTATAGGCAGGGAGGAATAAATTCAGTACATTCTGGTGCAGTTGCCCACATCTCTACCTCCCATATATACTTTCTTTATGGCACATATTCTCCATCTTGAAAATATGCAGTACCTCGACTTGGAATATATACTAATGCCCGAGTTCCCTTGAATGAGAAACTCTTTCCTGCCTTCTTTTTCCCCAGCTAAGCATTTTTCACTTTACTACTCAGCTCCTGAAATGATTCCTCCTTTTCTGAAATGGAGGAAAGTCCAGGAAAAACTGAGTAGATCTTAGGACTGATTTCCCTTTCTGGAAAAGAGCAATCTCTCACTCCAACCTGAGTTTTCATATTCCCCGAGAAACTGAGCATAGAGTGACGTGTGCCTCAGGTGTGGTTTGACAGCTGCCGAGTAAAGCTGATGAAACATCAGATCTGGATTCTTCAGATTCTCATAGCAGACCTAAATCTGCTATAACCATTGTCAGGCACTTCTGGGGCAGGGTTTGAGGGATCACAGGGAAGTGACGTAGGCAAGCAGACAGGGAATGGCCCACAAGGTAAGGGAATTCCTAGGAAGTAATAACACCATCTGGCCTTAAGGCCTTCCTGGCCCACCTTCTGAGCACAGGAATTCAGGCCTGATAAGACTTTCACCTGGTGCCAGGAACAGACCCAGAGAAGGGTGGAGCACTCAGAAAGAAGCTTCAGCAGGAACAAAAGACCAGGAAAGGAAGTTCAAAGACCACTGAACACTCCCAACTCTACCCCATTGGCCACTACCCTAGCAATGGACTTTGACCTACATGGAAGCCCAATGTGGAGGCAGGTTAGAGGAACCCTAAAATAGTCACCTTGAACAAAGGAAGGACATGCATATGCTGCCCGAGCCCATATGTTGCTTCTGCCCATGTAGCCGAGAACATGTGTCACCCGCATCTTCTCTCTTGAGATGTGGACTTCTATGCTTCCATTTCTAATGCTGTGATGTATGTAGGGATGCTCTCTGCCTTTAGAGAAGCCCGTGTTCTTCCTCTTCCTCCGTCTCTATCCCTCCTTCCCCTTCCAAATAAAATCTGTTTTTACTTCAGTGCTTGTCCACTCCTGAAATTCCTTTCTGAAGAGAAGAACCTGAAAACCCTAGGTCAGGTATAGGACTGACTTTCATTTCCTGTAAAAGCATTTCCTCACTTCAGCTTGAGTCCGTGGTTCCCTGAGAAATTTCAGGTGATTGGAATTCCTCCACTGAGGAAAAGACCAAACAGACATCAGGTGGAGCTATCTGGGCCTGGCCTGTGCCATGCAAGGCCTCATCCACAGATTGGACCAGTCCTGGCCTTCCCACATGGCCTCTGGGTGGCAGAGGTGGACAGGGAGAAAGTAACCGTCTCTCTCCTCCCCACCTTACATAAGCCACCTGTGGAAGCCCACCAATTTCAGAAGCCCCTCACCAGGTTCCAGCCTCTCTCCTCCCCACTTCACATATGTTACCCACAACAGTTTCATGCTTGCATTATTCCAAACCACACCCCGACAGAGTGAAGGCTTCCTTCTGTTAGTGTCCCCAGAGCACCCCCCCCCCCCACAACAGATCTCTCTCTCTCCCACTCCAAGTAAACAATTGGCAGAATTCTTTAGCATTTCCCTATAAGGTTCATTTCTTAAAATTTCCCCCTGAACAACTTTTTAATATCAGCAATACATGGGGATGACACTAATAAGATGCAACACCTTTCAGAAGAGCAGTTTCAGCCAACACGTGATGCAGATCACAGAAGTGTGTAGACAGAGATTCAGCCTCACCCTCTTTCATCAGCTACATACAGCGTGCAGTGGACTCAAGTGGGTGGTGGTCACCTACCGTTTTTACAGATGGGACAGCACTGGTCAGGCTCGTAAACAGGGTCCACACACTCAGTCTGTGGACATGCAGACACCGTGCACAGCACTTCTCCGTTGGCTTCACAGCGGCACTGCTCGCAGGGAGACACCTGGAACACAAGCCCACAGGTGGGTCACACCTCCTGGCAGCCAGACCCTGGAAATGCACGTTCTCCTTTCCCAAACTTTCCATGAAGATACCAAGTACTTTAAGAATGCTAAACATTTTTGTTTCCCAAGTGTGGCCATAGCTGTGTAGTGCTCTGCGGAGTCTTCCAGGAATACACACATACGGGGCTCTCTTCCTCCTCGCCCTCTCAGCTCCAACCAGAGCTGGTGGAACAGTGAGCTGCATTTAAGTCTCCTTACAAACTGTCTTTTGGCATTTTTTTCCTTTTAAAAAAATTGTATGGAATTCTTCACTATCCATTTATCCTGCAGATGTCTTTCTCTTTCACAACCCTGCCACGTGCAACCCATCGAGCCTGAAAAGCTCACTCCCAATTTGAAAAGAACAGGACAAGAAGGGGCAGTGTGAAGGAAAGAGACCAAAACTCCTCTTGGAGCCAAGCTATTGACCAGGAACTGCTCCAAACGACCACAACGAGCTCTCGTAGTGATTCTAAACTACACTGACTGTGGATGAAGAAACAGACTCAGGCATCACACAACTTTCATGGGAAAAACCTTCACAAATCCAGCCAGGCTTCCAAATTCAAAATTTGGAAGGTTTTGCTCCCTGTTTTTTTTTTTTATCATCCAGTGCTTCAGAGTTTTTCTATATTCAATTTGTCTTTCTGTATTTTTCATCTGTTAACCCCGATTCTTTTTGAATCATTCAGTCAAGCATTATAGCCTTTTCTGGAAAAGTCGTACACTGCTAACTCTTCCCATAGTAGTTTATGCGGAATGTGTGATGTAGATTTACTTTTTCTTGTGAATACAGTGAGGTACTTTTTCATCTAGATTGGCCCAGAACAAATCAAAAACAGTGTGAGGCAAACTAGTAACCAGAAAAGAAGCTGTGAAGCAGAGATCCATGCTTTAAAAGACAGTAGAGAGACAACTATTACTGAGGGGAGGGTATTTGCCTTTCATGCATCTGACCTAGGCTCAATCTCCAGCACTACAAAATTTTCTCTAAGCTCTGCCAGGCAAAAGCCCTGAGCAACTCTGGATGTGGTCCAAAAACAAAACAAAGCAAAACTACAAAAAGATAGCAGAGATTACAGTTGTCACATCAAGTTCCCTGCACAGGGAAGTATAATTTTGTGTACTGCACCCACGACACAGAGACACAGTCAATACTTGTAAGAAAAATAAAACTCACAGATGCTTAGTTTTTCTTAAGTGGTATTGTTTTTAAACATTTTATAGCAGCAGACCAGCATCAGTTTGTGGACCAGATGTTGAGAATCACTGCTTTTGATTGAAGGAAGTAGAACAGTGTTTTTCAGACATGCTTACACTTATGGACTAGAGGTCTAAACACAGCAAAACAAAATAAGTAAACAGTAAAATAAAAATAAAATGAGTAATTATTTCATGATATAGAAGCTCAATATTCGAGGAGATAGAGAGAGATAGAGATAGAGATTAGAGAGAGAGAAAGAGAGAGAGAGAGACAAGGACATTCTGCTTGGAAAATAACAAATGAAAGCTGGAGAATCTTTGGAGAATTTCAGAACAAAATCCTGACCTGGTTTATTTTTCGAAACAACATTAAAAGTTAAAATAGATATCATAATATACAAAACACAGTTCTAGAAGCATCTGTGCACTTGGTCGGGCTCTGGCTGGCTACCATAAGAGGTGTGCTCCATGCTGCTGCTGCCCTCATTTTTTCTTCTCTCCTACCAAAACTCAACTCAGCTGGAAGCATTCTTGTGTCAGAGTGGATCTACTTAGCAAGCAGAATGAAAGAACAATTTTGAGCTTTGAAATAGTAAGCCTGAGTTGACAGTTTTCTCTTTGTCTATGGGTCCTTTAGGTGATCAACCACTGAATCCAGAGAGTGTGGATTACAAAATGCCGTTAGGATTTGGAGTAGGAATTTGAAAAGCTAAAACAGTCCATTGCCCTATCCCCAGGAAGGATTCCAGGAAAACAACAAAGGTGCAGCTGCAGTTCAGAAAGGTTTCAGGCACCTCTCTGTGTGGAAGCACATCTTAGCAGTCCCACTGCCTAGAGACTGCAGACTCCTGCGGCAGCTGGCCTGCATGCCATCAAATCCTTGCACTGCGCCAGCAAGTTCATGGGACCTAGGCTGCTATTTCTACAAGAGTTTGCAACTTTGGCAAAGAAAATAAAATACAGTGAATCACTTACATGTGGAATATGGGATAGCAAGATAAAGTAATGAGATGTACCCCTTCCTTGGTATAACCCTTTTGCCCAGAATTAAAGAAATGAGAAGACCAAGGAAGGAGGAGAATGCAGTGAGAGACAGCTTTGGGTCACTGCTAGAGCTATGCTGACACCGGTGGTGAGTACAGAGTGGGAACCACGTATGGCTGAAATTCTGTTAGTAATGGCACTTTGAATCATGGTACCTAAATAAAAAATATTTACCTCTGCTCCCCCCCCCCAAAAAAAAGCCAATAGCTAGTTAGTAAAATCCTAATCAAATATTTGGAGATGTGTTCATTTCTGAAAACCCTTGAGTTTAGGCTGAGAGTTTGAATAGCTGTGAGTGTATCCTCTCAGGAACAATCTCCGCCTTGTGTTCTGCCTTCATCAGGACCTCAAGTTGGGCTGTGTTCATTTTCACCTGAGATTCAGTCTAAGTAGAAGTAGAACAGAGAGCAAGGACCTTGAGAGCAAGCCTCAAATCATGCTGTTCCCTAAGAGAACACTGTCAGTCCCACCTGGGTTAAGGCGCTCAAGCTGGTGACATGGCCCTGAATGGTCTAAGTCAGTGTTCCCAGCTGACAACAGTGTCCAAGGACTTCTTCCCAGAAGACGAGTGGCATTACTAAAGCTCTTAGTCTCCTGCTGAGGACTTGACCCTACACCCTTCAGTGACATTAGCTTCAGCTGATGAGAAACACAAATCACCACTTGGGGCCTCGTGCCACTGTTACTTTTCTGATCCTGATCACTGTCTGGGCTTCAGTCATTAGGTTTATTCCCAAGAAGCAGACAAAAATAATGTGAAGTCAATAGTGTGAAGTCCTTGTCTGTAAGGCCCCCTCATGTCAACCTATCAACTTTCCATATTTTCACTTTTCCAAGTCTCATTCATGATGTCTGTTATGAGCTCTAGGAAAGATGCCTCATTAGGCAAAGTATCTCAAAATTTAATTTGGTTTGGTTTTGAGGCACAGTGTCAAGGCTAAGAACTCCTGATTTTGTGCACAGGATCATTTCTGGCAGGGCTCAGGGACCATATGAGGTACTGGGGATTAAACTAGGGTCAACCATGAGCATGGCAAGTACCCTACACTCTGTACCATCTTCAAGGTTATAAACTGCCTCTTTCAGACCCAGCTCCAGGGGTTCTGTGCCCTATTCTGGATTCTATCTTTGGTGCTAACACTGATGATCTGGTGACATTATTTCTATTCAGCCACTACCCAATTCCCTACAAGTTGCCTCCACAGACTTCTCATATGGTTTATGAAATGCTGCTAAATTAAAATTCAATGTTATGACCAATAAAAAATGTAAACTCGGCATCACCACATACCAGAAAGAAGGGAATTGAAGATTTCCCAGTCACCTCTGCAGCCAATACTCCAGCACAATGTAGGATGATCCAGTTGGTGATTATGAGTAGCTTCTGCTCAGGTTTGCCTGGGAAAGACATACCAAGCCCTTTCCTGACTGATAGTAGGGAAACAAGGAGTCAGAACAAGTTGTGAACCTAACATGGTGCCGGAATCAGGCACCAAGGCTCATATGGCATCTGGGCTACAACGAGCTTCTTTATACATTCTTTTAGTCTTCAACATATGGATGGAATCTCACATAGGAGAGCAGGTCCAGACAACTGACTCCAGAACTTAAGACTCTTGCATAAGGTCACCTGTATCCTAAGTTGATTCTCAGACTCTCATGAGCATATCTGAGTACAGTTAATAGTAAAGAGTTCTCACACCTAGCTTAAGCAACAAACAGCCTCCTGCCAGCCTATCTCTTCAGTCATTTGTGGAACGTAAAAGTTAAGAAGCATGCTACTGTGTGTGATCTGCAAGCAGCATAAACTTCCATGGAAACTTTCAAAAATTAATTAGGGTAGCATAACTCTCAACAAAATACATTAGTTAGCCAAGCACAACCTGCCTTCTGTATAGCATACCTTATGGCAGATATACATTCTTTAAAATCTTATAAAGTTACAATCACATTTTGGTGATTGTAATCACCACAAAAGATTATTTTGGTTCACAGCCTAGAGGAGCGTTTGGGCAATTGAGGAATAGAGTCCACTCTCACAGTATCTACTATGGTCTCGGAATACTCAGCATGTAAAGAAAATGGCTTTTCACAACTGGGCTAAGAATAAAGACAAACTCTGTAATTAGTACATTCATTCATGTCTTGTGGTCAGATGATTAACATCCGGAAGGTAAGAGCACAGATGGGAGGAGGTGGTGATTGAAAGATAGCAGGTAACGGTTCACCTAATGAACCTGAGAACAGGGCTCTCAGATTAATGGAACAGCAGTTCCCCATAAGTACTGTATTTACTGTCACTGCAGTTACTTAAAGAGAATTTAAAAGCATACAACAGAAGTGCTATCTGCAGTTCTGTGTTCATTGTGGCACTATTTACAATAGCCAGATCTAGAAACAATCCTTGTGCCCAAGAACAGATGGCTGGATAAAGAAACTATGGTCTACTACACAATGGAATATTATGCAGCTGTTAGGAAAACATGAAGTCTTGAAATTCGCTTATAAATGGATGGACACGGAGAGTACCATGCTAAGTGAAATGAGTCAGAAAGTGAGGGACAGACATAGAATGACTGCTCTCATTTCTGGGATATAAAAAAATAGTATGGGACTAACACTCAAGGACAGTAGAAACAAGGGCCGGGAGGATTGGCTCATGGTTCTGCCTCAAGGGCTGGGATAGAGGGCAGTTGAGATAGAGTACCTTAAT